CAGCATCTTAGATTGTTAATTGTGTGTCAGTATGGAAATCACAGAGCCGTTTTCAGTGTGTGACCTGTAAAGTAAAGCCAGAACGCAGCTTAAAGGTTGTTGGATGACAGCTGCTTGTTGCCGCTTTGGTGTCACCTTAAATAGTGTCTAAAAGTAGCATCAAACGTGCACACATGGCATTAAACCATATTGCGACGTGTTTGTTTGAGGCGCAGTTGTTCTGCACAACCTGCTGCCTTCTGTACCTCAAGCTACACAGAACCTAATATTTCTGTCCTGTGAGACTCATGTTTCTCCATGTTTGGTGATTTTTAGATGGGAATGCACGGACACCAATTTTATTTAGACCAAGTAGAAGTACTTCTAATTGGGTATTTGCAATACCAAGAACAGATATAAGTACTTAATAACACCATTACATTTCTAACAATGACTTTGAAACCATGTTTTATTTTCATAAGATGTTCTTCATTTGTATTAAAGGAGCTGCTTTTCTCTTGACAGTTTAGCAGAGAATAATTTGCAGTCTGCTCTACTGTTGTCATCATCGGTTCTGTTAGAATATCTCCAAATTGTTAACATCATCAACCTACCTGATTAGCTAATGAAAGGTTAACAACACGTTACCATAAAGTGGTCTCTGAGTAGTTTCATGATTACAATTGTGAGTACATGAGCACTGTATCAGACCAGATACCTGATACTGATATCGGTGCATCCCTATTTTCAGATAAAATAAAGGAAGACATGCTACTTTAGCTCTAAAAAAAAGTTTTCTTTTACCATTATAAAAAAGTTTTTCTTGGTATGCTGGTTTATTGTCATAGTTTTTGGAAGATTGTGCAATGTTTTATTTTATTAAAATGCCACCTGAACACATGTTAAGATGCTATTACACTATGCATTATGTCTTAAATGCAAGCATCCCAGAAACAGTCAGTCAGAGTTTGGGGTGCTGAATGAAAGTCAGTCCACATAATGATGTAATGCTACATGCTAAAAAGTTGAGCGTTTTTTTTAACTCATTTAGAGTGGAGATATACCAACAAAATGTGCAATATTAGCTTCACATATATCACAATTGTGTATTTGTCTGCCAATAAGTAGAGCACCTAACTATTATTTTCAGCCATTATGTCCATATCAGTGTCCAAACCCCACTATTGGGCTATAATAATTTGTATTTATAAAACCCATAACTGCACCGACTGGTGTCACAATCAGAGTGACATAACACACAACGTATTCAAGGGCACTGACAGACAGACAGACTGAATGTGGATGTGTGTACAGTGCAGTGTGAACCACCCGTTCAACCGCGCACACACACACACATCGTCGCACACACGCTGGCACTCAGAGGTGGATTTTGGTGAGGTCACGTGCCCATGCTGTGTCACCCTCTGCATTGTGTTGGTTTGTGAAGAATGAACTGATGTAGGTCGCTGACCTGCGAGCTGAACTGGAATGCAGTCTCTCTCCCAGACAACACCCAGCTCTCAGTCAGATGTAGGTCAGCCTGCAGCTCCTCTATAATGGCTCCTGTTGTGTCATACGTGAGAACGATAGCAGCACTTCCCAGACACAGCGACGGATCAGAGCGTAGTGCTAACAATGGCGGGGTGATGGGTGTGATTCTCGCTGTAGAAGGCCATGCTCAACATGTCTGCACTGTGGAGTAAGGTTGTGTTCACGCTGCATCTTAAGGTGTCCTGATTCTGATTATTTTCCTCTCATGTGAGACACACAGCAGATCTGATGTGTTGGATGAGGGTAAAGCTTCAATTTCAGTCTGCACAAATTTGGATTCCAGAGCAGTGACCTCTTTAGAAATTGTTTATTTAGATACTGAAATCAGATTTCGCAAGCGTTGCCATGACAGAAACTAAATCTTGGATCATTAACAGACCTGTGATATCATTTTGGAGCTGATGCAATCTTGCTGAACAGTGTAAGTTTGAAAAATAATGAGACAGCATTGTAAAGATAAACAGGTTCTTGGATAAATCGTACAGATTGAACCTTAACTAAACTGTATTCAGATTTTGGGATGTAGGGGACAGCCATAATTATCCATAATCTGAAGGTATATTCGTCAGACAGGGATGCCATTTGGTGAAGAAGTAATCTGAATGCTTATATGCACTACAGCATTTTAGGGTTTCAAGGAATAATTATGTGTTAGTTCGCACTCAAATTGTGGTTCCTACTGAGGATACATCTTTAAAAACTGCTCCCAAATATAGTTTAATTTTTTCAGGTTCAGTAATTTCACTGTATCTCACTGTAGTTTTTATCATGCAAACAGGAGGAAATAATGCATTTGTTGGTGACTATTTTTAGTGGCGGATTAATCCACCACTGCCAGGGGGTGGCATGAGATTGAGTCAAAATAAACTAAAGTGTGTGTTCATGGTAATGCAGGAAGATGTCACCCAGTGCAACAGTGAGGCTCACTGATGTGTTTTAATAGTTTTTGACAACAGTGGAGCTCTAGGACTCAGAAGAAGTAGACATATCAGGCGAAACTCTGCGACACCTTCGCTAACGTGACCTTTTTCTCCCTGCAGGGTGAGGAAGCTGAAGGAGACCCTGGTGACGGTGCAGCAGCTGGATAAGAACATGAGCAACCTGCGAACATGGTTGTCTCGTATCGAGGCGGAGCTGGCCAAGCCGGTGGTCTACAGCGTCTGCCACAGCGACGAGATCCAGAGGAAACTGGCTGAGCAGCAGGTGGGTGAAGACGGGATGCTTTTAATGAGATGTTCGAGCAGCATATTAGTCAACCATGAAAGTGTGTATGAAGTTTTAAACCGGTCTAATAAACAAGAAGTGCAGCTTTCTGCGTTTCAATAGAGTTTTTTCAGAATGTAAAACTCCTCAGTTCATGCATAGACAATGACAGGAGACAGACAGTTGGGCACAGAGGTTTAGATGGACATGAAAGTCTACTGATTGAATCATTGGTACATAAGCTGAACAACTGTGTTAGAATATTCAGATTCTTTGAACAAAAGTCAAAGGTTCAAACCTGTGTACATACCAAGGTGAATTTCAGTTAAGTCAACCTACTAACGTACACCTGTCCTGTGCGGGGCTGCCCTTTAGCAAGGATGAAAGATGTAAAATGAATTGGCTTTTATTGCCACCTCATACAAATTCTGAACCACTTTAATTTACCAAAGTACAATTGCAGTATACAAGGTTGCTAATATCAGGCGTCATTGCGAGTCAAAACATGCTAGCTAGCTCCAGTGCAGCGTTCCCGCCTGGCAGCGCTGCAAGAAAAGAAAAGATTAAAAGTCTTATTGTCTGACATCAAGCACCCTAATGATTATTAGTTTTACAGCTATTAAGAGCTTTTCTTCAAACCAAACTGACAGCACAGGTTGAGAACAAAGGTGACATAATTACATAAATAACAGGAGACTCCCATGTTTATATGTGGAGGAACTACAAGGGTAAAACAAAACTTTTAAGTGTAATTCACAGTGGTGAAAATGAAACCAGTGGCTCCTCCCACCTCACACCTCCATATAACCACTGAGCTCGGACAGGTAAAAGCTGTTCTGTGTTGGCACAGAGCAGAATGGACACCCCACTTTGAGAACAGACCCTGCAGGGCACTTTGAGGGAATTTTAGGGTAGGTAGTACCTTACTCATACACTAGTGACGCACGCCTGCTTTTAAACCCTTTATGTTACAGCCACCCCGTAGTGGTCCACAGCATAATAACACAAGAGTAGAGTAATGTGTGCTGCAAAGTAAAATCTCAGCAAGCTGTGGGAAAGGGGGTGTTTGTAAAGGAGGAAGCTGCCACTCTGTTCTGAGAGAGGGTAAATGCACCGAGAGCCGCACCTCAGCTGGCGCTCCGAAGAAAGGAAATGGATTTTATTCTGTTAGTCCATTTGTAGTCTGCTGTACTGCTACTTTCCTAAAAGGAGAAAGGGTTGCCAGTGTGAGAGGAAGTGGATGGATGGAAAGGGTCAGACAGAGACATTTTCAGACAGACGATGAATAAAGATGAATTAGATCTTTTAAGAAGTAACTACCTTATGAAAGCAAAATGTGTACACAGGATGGAAGTGAAATGGATGAATTTGCAAAAGTCAACAGCGGCATATCAACAAGAACATCTCTCAAGCTCAGATGAAAGCTTCTTCTGCCGTTCTATGTGAAAGGACCTTAAGAATGATAAACTGAGGCCACAATATTTAGATTATTTATCCTAATATGTAACAAGCAGTAGCTGTGGAACTGCCACTTCTGACCAAAAAACGAAACAAGATGACGTCGGCAATAATTCCTGTAAACGCTACCCCATAAACCAGTGCTTTCACACTTGGTCTGAACAGCTTTGTGGTACAGACACTGCATTATATAAGAATACTTACATCTCAAACACGACAGCTAGTGTGGACATGGTTTCTCCACAGTCTCTGCATCCCCACCGACTGGTTGCCCAGAGTCACTGCTTTTCTGAGACGCTCAACATTTTCTAAAGTTTGAAAGTGCTCTTCTCTGGCAAAACATGTCAGGCAGAGTGCTTTACATAGCTCTTGATTGACAGTTGTGAAATGGCTGCATGTGAACTTCGTTTTTACAAAACCAGTTGGTGCTGCTAATACACACAGGAGAGTTTGTATTGTATTTAGTAGTAGTAGTATAGTTTTATGATGGATTTTGTGAATGTTAATGGAGGAGGCTGACCTGTACTCATTTTTTTAGACACTGATAATCTCTTGCTAATAATTTTCTATCATCTGAAAATACTTTCGAAATATTTGCAATAATAATAACATTATAAAGAGTACAGTCTAGCCCTGCTCTATATAAAAAGTGCCAGAGATAATTTCTGTTATAAATTGGGGCTTATAAATATGATTTGAAATGGGGAGTGACAGAAGTAAAAAAGAAAAAGTCCTCCTCTGTTAAACAAATTGGACTTGAGCAGCCTGTCTGAGTTTGGACAGGAACCGGTCTGGACACAGAAGTGGTTCATGGAAGCGAGGAGGAGACAGATGACAGACAGGCAGAAAAAAGAAGCAGGAGTGAGTTGGTAAAAGTGAGGAAGAAAAGAAGGTTCCTTAAAAAAGGCTTAAGCTCTCACCATTAGTGGATAAGGGACGGCTAAAATGACTCCCGTGTGGATGGGCTCTTTAAGCTTTCAGCTGTCACCATGGCAACCCAGAAAGTGGTAACTTTAAACAAACAAGAGCCGACAAAAGTGCTGTCAGGCTTCAGGGGGAGCTTCGCGCTGACACACGCACACCAAAAAGCCCTCCGCCTTACCCCACAGACCTCTGGATATGGGAATCGAGAAGCGGTTCCAGTTGAGAACTGGTTCCACATTGTCCGATCCATTGGAATCATTGAGATTATCAGTTCCTTTTATCAGTGCCAACATGTTTTTCTGGCAGTTATGTAGTTGAGTGATGGTGGAGACAAAGAACCGATTAGAATTCAGAAAGGGAACCGTCAAGGAATCAGACCGATAAGCCCGATATAATAATAATTATGACTTTGCTGACGATGCTTTTATTTCTCTCAGAAATTATTGTTTACGTTGGGAGCTCCTGTGGTAATCGGGGAACAGTTTTTTCCTATTTTAATTCCACTCTTGATGGTCTTGATGAACAAATATGTGTCGGTTAAAGTCTGGAGTGTTTGCTCTGGAGTATTTGAGTAGTTTAATTGGCCAACGGAAAATGTTTTAACTCAAAAGGACCATACCAAGAAACCTTAAAATGTGAGACTTGATCTTCCTCCAAGCATGTTGATGTATAAATGAGGTGCATGGAGTTCATGTGACTGTTTCATATAAGATGTGACTGAGATGTTTCTTTGTTGTTTGACCTGCAGGATTTGCAGCGAGATATTGAGCAGCACACGGAGAGCGTGGCGTCTGTGCTGACGCTTTGCGACGTCCTGCTCCACGATGCCGACGCCTGCGGCAGCGACTCCGAGAACGACTCGATCCAGCAGACCACCCGCAGCCTGGACCGACGCTGGAGAAACATCTGCGCCATGTCAATGGAGAGGAGGATGAGGTGTGGTCACAGACTGTGTATTTAATACTTAAAATAAATCTATGTTTATTTTTTATTTCTATAACACCGTCATTTTGTAATAAGTACTGGTACTGCTCAGGTTTAGCTCATCACATTGTTTTCAGGATTGAGGAGACGTGGCGTCTCTGGTGCAAGTTCCAGGACGACTACTCTCGCTTCGAAGACTGGCTGAAGACAGCTGAGCTCACAGCAGCGAACCCGGACTCCGCCGATGTCCTCTACACTAGCGCCAAAGAGGAGCTCAAGAAGTTCGAGGTCAGCTGACAAAACTTTCTCTCTTTTTTGTTTCTTTTAATCTTCTTTTACTTTGGCAAGTACCAGAAACAGAGGACTAAAGGGCAAGACAGACCCCAAGTTAACAGGAAGATCAGTCGTATGTCTCTCAGGCGGTGGTTAGGTATTCTAAAAGATTTTATCTAATTGGTAAAATGATTGTAAATTTCATTTTTTGGACTGGGGGTGGCACTGTCCTTAATCTAAGAGATTAATCTTCTGGAGAGCATGAATTTGAAATGTAATGACAAACTCAAACTGCTGCATTAGATTGAGATTTTCTTGTGTACACAATGATGTTTTGCAAATCTAATGAACTAATGACTAGCTGTAACAACTTGCTCTGGACCAAAGGCTAAACAACCTCCATCCATAGGCATTGTTGGAGAAGGAATTGAGAAAAATGTAATAAGAAATGGCACATAAAAGCAAATTAAAGAACATACAGTTATAGTTATTTTGGCGGATTCTATACACAACAATGGGCGATAGCTAAAAAGCAAAACCTTTGTCAGGAAACTAGAGCGTAAACCAAGTGAGTAAAAAAAGAGTGCATTAAACGGGTAAATAAACATTAATGCAGTTACCACTGTTACAGGGTTAATCATCCGACACCCCAGGTCTTATCTGAACACACTCCTTCCTGCAATCTTTGCTCTGGGGGGTGAAGCTGGGTTTCAGCAATGAGCCTTCTACAGCAATCAAATACTCACCTCATCCACTATTAGTGCCAGTTTGACTGCAGGGTTAGGTTCAGGTGTCCTGTTTGTGCTGAGACACAGAGGTAACCTTTGATGTGTCAATCTGGATTAGAAACACAGATTAGCGTCTGGTAATCTGGACTATGCCGAAGAGCCCTCATCTCCACGGCAACAGGGATCCAGTGCGGTCTAGATGGTGTAGATCGTCCTGTGGAGGACCGCTGACCTATATACTGACTGTCAATGTCATGTAATGGACGCTATAGGAGCGTAATCGTTGGAATCAGCAGGAGGATGAAGGTTCAAATCCATAAACTGACAGGAAAAGGTTGTTAATCCTCCTGAGCAGCTGGTAGCGGCAGTTTCAACTTGTCACACTGTATATTGACCTTATTTAAATGTTTGACAGAGAGAGCATGTGATTTTATCCATCCATTCATCCATCCCCCCTTCCAAAAAAATCCAGGCTTGGCCCTTGATCATCATAGCCTTTGGTTATCCTTTGGCTTTTTGAGTTCATAATCTGCATTGCAGTGGTTTTAAAGGTGTGAGTCATCATTTAAACTATGATACATATTTTGAATCACAATTTGAATGTAAATAAATACAGTGAAATACAGTGGTGTGCTTGATTCTGCAAAAGTTGGGAAGTGTGGGATTTCATCATGATGAGGTGACTTCCCAAGTCTGCACACTTTTAATTCACTCTTTATGGACATATACTTTTAAAGGGAAAGATAGTGACCATAAATACATGCAACATACAAGATTACAACACTGACTCTTTATGAAATGCAATATTCCAGTTTAAAGCTGCAGTAGGTAACTTTTCTAAAAATAACTTTTTTTGTCATATTTGCAGAAACTTTCACTATATCGTGACGGTAGAACATGAGACAAATAATCTGCGAAAAAAATCAGGTTCCTGTGGCTCGTTCTAGTTCTCCTAAGGGTATTTGGAAAAATCCACCCGGCCCGAACAAAAACAACCAATTAGAGCCAAGAAATAGTCGATTGTTGAGTTTCATTCCCAGGGCGGCAAATACAGATGCTCTAGGACTCTGGGAATGAGCCTTATTACCTCTCAAAACCTCTCACTCACTCGTTTGTGCTCATATTTCTTCCTCTCTGTTCTCCTCTCCAGGCGTTCCAGCGGCAGGTTCACGAGCGCTTGACTCAGCTGGAGCTGGTCAACAAACAGTATCGCCGCCTGGCCCGGGAGAACCGGACCGATGCCGCCAGCAAGCTCAAAGTCATGGTCCACGAGGGGAACCAAAGATGGGACAGCCTGCAGAGGAGGGTGGCCGCGGTTCTCCGCAGACTCAAGGTGAGACGGGGAGCTCATTCAAGACGTTAAATCGCACTCAGCCAATAAACTCATGAAGAATATTTAGAACTGTGTTAGGAAACTTCCTCAAATAGCAGCAAGAGATTGAAACTACGTACATCACAGCAGAAATAAATGCTGCTTTTATAAGGGTAAGACAACAATCAGAAAGCAAACATCAGCGTGTATCAAACCCTCCCCAGCTGATCTGTGTAGGATCTACCCACTCTCAGATAAGTTGTCAGGATTTAGGTCACCTCCTAGACGGTGACGAGGCACGGGGTGTCACGTTGGCGGGAAGCTGTTTTCATTGCAGCATGTGGCGCAGAGCAGATAGATGAAGTTTATGTTGCTTTATAAAGATTTCATGTAATCAAAAAACTCGGCTGATTGGTGCTGGTTGACCCCAGCCGCTGTAAGCCATGTTCACATCAGCAGACCAGGTTCAACAGTGCAGAACGCAGTGTGTCAGAGGCGTTCAGTGAAATGCAATAGTCCAGTTTAAAGCTGCAGTAGGTAACTTTTCTAAAAATAACTTTGTCATATTTGCAGAAACTTTCACTATATCCTGACGGTAGAACATGAGACAGATATTCTGCGAAAACAATCAGGTTCCTGTGGCTCGTTCTAGTTCTCCTAAGGGTATGCCTCTCAAAACCTCTCACTCACTCGTTTGTGCTCATAGTGGAGTGAAGATGACAGGGAGAAGGGCTCAAAACTCATATTTAATGGAGATATGATTCTTTCTATTCATACATCATTTTGCTCTACACACCTTTCTTATTTATCTGATTTTCAGTGGTTTAAGACAGAAGAACAGTTTTTGCATTTATAATAAAATAAGATGAGATAAGGTAGATATAAGATAGGGCTATGGATATACAGTATAGGTCTATCATAGCTCTTATGGTCGCTATATACCTGAAATTTGAGGGTTTGACTGGTTTCCATCCAGTCTTTGCCCATCAGCCTACTGAAGTTTCACTGAGTGAGATTCATTTTTACTGCTGAGAAATGTTATTTTACAGAGTTAAGGATCATCATACTACAAACAAATCAATAAATCAAAAATCCAAGGTGATTCGATTGTTGCAAAACGCATTTAATTCTGAGACCTGTTTAATCAAATAAAATTAGTAAATATTAAAAAATAGTAATAAAATTTCAGTAATAATATTCATCGCCCCAAAAAATAACTAGTCTAAACTTTACTTTTTGTGTCACCCCTCCAATCACACCCCTGGATTCATTTTTGTAATCGTGCATGTCAACAAGCAGGACAGTAGCTTGGAAGACAGAAACACTAACAATCGGCAGCTGGAAATATTTTCATTATTTTGATTTTAACAAACAAAGCTGGATTTTAACTGTAAGCAGCTGCAGGCAGCAAGCAACAAAGATCTAATGGAGTGTGGTGGATGAAATGTTTTACTCTCTGTCTCTTACCAATTTTGTGAGCAGTAGCTGAAAAGTAACCAGTAGTGTAACTAATTGCTGAATAATGAGTCATAAATTACATTGTTGGAGTGACGAGCCCAACACTGCACGTATGGCAGTGATTTATTTGCAGATATCAACAAGGTCCGTCCATTGTTAAAGGAATCTTATATTTTGGATTTAAATATCTCTTCACGTCAGCCTGACTTGTTCCTTTGATAATCTCGTCTTCATGACCATAATAGAGTTCACAGATGGAATAAATAATGGACCACAAATACCAATATTCTGTATATGTTATACTCAGACTTAAGACCACTGTGGGTATCTACACTGCTCTTAAATAAAGATGCCCGTCCTCTGCTTTGTGCTTCTGCAGCACTTTACCTCTCAGAGAGAAGACTTTGAGGGGACCCGTGAAGGGATCCTGGTCTGGCTGACAGAGATGGACCTCCAGCTCACCAACGTGGAGCACTTCTCCGAGAGCGACGTCGATGACAAGATGAGGCAGCTGAACGTAAGTCTGCTCCCACTGACACTAACAACTGTTTACCTGCAACATCCAGTGCTCATTCTCACACCTTCGTTAAACATCGTAACCAAAATGTCTCTCTCCAGGGCTTCCAGCAGGAAATCACCCTGAACACCAACAAGATCGATGCCCTGATCGTGTTTGGGGAGAACCTGATCCAGAAGAGCGCTCCACTGGACGCCGTGCTCATTGAGGACGAGCTGGAGGAGCTGCACTCCTACTGCCAGGAGGTGTTCGGCAGAGTGGCTCGCTTCCACCACCGTCTGGTCAACAGACGCCCGGTCAGCTCACAGCTCACAGCTGACTTCTTTCACAGTCTATTTACACATTATTACACCACACTACGTTAGCTTTCGTTGCTTAATTTCTTCTTTCTGAAAATTTCTTCAAGGTCCTGGAGGAGGAGAGGGATCTGTCGGACCGGGATACAGACCTGGACGACTCAACTGATCTGACCAATGGGACTTCCTGGAGGGGGGCAAGGAAGAAGGAGGAGGAAGAGGAGGAGGTTCCAGCGGTAGGTGGAGTCTCAGCCGGACGACAGGCCATGTGTCACCTTCTGGCACCACCTCTGGAGCGGTCGGGGCGAGAGACCCCCGTCAGCGTGGACTCCATCCCGCTGGAGTGGGACCACACGGTCGACGTAGGGGGA